TATATATATATTTATTTATTTATTTATGAAAAATTTAATAAGATTTTTTCTTTGATTTTAAGAGAAAAAAGATAGGATTTGGAAGAAAAATAATATATATGGAGGAATTAGATTAGGGGGAATCAAGGCTTATCAACTACAATGGTAACTGTTTAGATTAATGATAGCCCAACAAAAAAATCTTAAAGAAAGAATTAAATTAATACAAGGAGACTATTATTACTCCTTTTGTTTTTAATTTTATTGTGGAAAGGGCCTTAGTGGGCCTTAGTGATTATAAAAAACAGTGGAGAGAACTTATACATTGGTAGAGATTCATACCAACTAATAACATAATTATAAACTTTTTTCTAGTTTTATGTACCCATAACATAATTATCTCATGTTAAATTCAAAATTCCAAATTGTACTCATCTCGCATCACGCGGTGTTTCATTGTAGTTCTTTTTCTTTTTAAAAACTTTCCTTCTGAATAAAAAAAAAAATTATACTCATCTCTAATAATTATTTCGATACGGTTATAATTTCAATTAGCCATTTAGACGCACATATAAATTAGCCACTTGAATATCTAAGTTTGATATAATTAACTAATTAGAAGATTTAACTATACTCGAGTATATTATATTGAAAAAAGGGATTCAAATTCGAAGCATATACATTCTTAAACTAAATCATGAGATATGAAATCATCATGTCCGACATTTAAACCCACACAATCACCGTCAAAACAACTACATTTTCAAAGATTTTCTACAAAACCATGTAGAAAAAATAATTTGTAACAATGTTACCTTCACAAACTAGACTGATCCATGGCTTACAATTGCATTCTTTATGTTCCCAAAGGCATTGCAACCTCTAAACCCGTTTGAAGTTTTATGTTTCAGAAATGAGCCAACAGTTGACGAGCGTGAGAAAGAGATGCTTCCTTGATCCGTGTCTTTCATGGCATATGAGTATGCTGGGTACACCAATGACCATGATGATGATGAGGATGAGGAAGATGAGCGAGATGATGCTGGTGACACATTAGGATGAGACTTTCTTGACCCTATAAACTTTGGCAAAAAACATGAAAATATTTTGGCCTTTGAGTTTCTTCTCTTGATATTGGACTTGGAATTGGAATAATATGAAGGTGGGGGTGTAAGGGGAGGTAGAGAAGTCTCAGAAGAAGGGTGTTTTGGGGTGCCAGGTTGTGCCTCCCACATGAAAGGAACTGCAATTGATGTTTCTCCATAATAAAAGACCCTTGAAGAAGAGTTAGCCATGGAGGTTTCTTTAGACATTAGCCTTGAGAAGAACCTATCACCCTCCTTTGATGTAAAGGACTTCTCAATTGAGACATGATTAGCACCATCATTGAGCATTTTGGATTCAAGTCTATGATTCTATATTCTTTCTCTTATATTTGCTACCTACTAGACCTTTGCATTGTTTTATGGCTTCCCTTCTTTTACTTGATACACTTAAAAAGTTACTAAATAAAACAAAAGGGTGCATGTTGTTGTAATTAAATTACCAAAGAATGGGGTTTCTACAAATGGGAATTAATTTAAACATGGATTAAATCAAGGAGGGCCCGGCTGTTCGATCAATTTAATGATAAGGATTTTTTTGGAAGGCACCAATTTAGTTGTGGCGAATTTAATGCCTGATATAGATAGTTGATAATTAAACTATGAAATTGAATGGGTTATTAATTAGTGGTAGATGCCCAATTATTCATGGAAGAATCTGGATCATTGACTAGAGTGGCCAAGTAGTTCCTTTATAAATCATTGGTGATCAAACACGGTTGAGAGGGAAGGAAATTTGGTTACGGAGGAACACAGTAATAAATGAAACATGTCGTGGTCGATTATGTTTCCATGAATGAGAAAAGAGAAATTTGTATAATTGCATGCTTTCCTAAACAGAGTTCATATCTACCTAATTGTCGTATCATATGCTATATTGATTTAATATTCATTCATTGTTGGAGCACAATATTTAAGTTACACCGACAGGGTTAGTATGAAAGGTCTCGGAGTATAGCCTCAAATGGATACGTGAGTAGTTCTTCATGAGCATGACATCAAGGACACCACAATTAATAAAAGCATGCCACGTGATATATTATCTGATTAGCAACATTTATCTGCTGCTGCTACTATGCGTTAGGTAGTTGTGAGGCCTGCATTTTGCACCATGAGCTTCTCCTACCAAACTTTATTTTGTGCCTAAGCTTGGATATTGGATGCTGAACATTTCATCCTCATTAAATAGCAGAAAGAAATCAATGAATACGATGACCTACTCTGGCATCATGGATAAGGACGCATAACATTTATTAGCAATGAAATGTCACGTATGGGATGAGCTGTGTGATCAGAAAAGTCCTCTGATATTTCATTGCAGCAGCTACACGTTCATAACATTAATTTCATCTTTCCTATGTACACGTTTCACTCAGCCTTAAGGTCTCGTAACAAATTTGAGATGATTTCAACCCACCCATACCAGCTTCATTTAAATCAAGTTTGATTTAAGATCATGTAATTCAACACCAAATTAATGAAAAAAATTGTCCATGATCAACTACCTCACTAATTAGATATTCTGTGACGTGTAATAAAATAATTACAAAATGGCCCACTAATATCTAGTGAAATTGTCATTATCACTTAATGGTGATTTAAAGAATCAACAGCATGCAAAACCATTGCTTTGGTGCAGTGCTGGAAAAAGAATTTGACGCAGGAATTTCCTCTTACTGTGAGTCATATACATTGAATGATGAAATAATCGACGCAACATGCATTAATTATGTACCTATTAAGCTTTAAATGTGTTGTGCACTAAATCTGAAAGTTTTGATTAATTACTACTATTTACTACTACTACTCCACTCAATGTGCCATTTTGTGATGCGGATTCTGCGGTTAGGACCTAATCATGTGCTTTTTTCTACCGCTATTTGAATGATTTTATAAATAATGAAAGTGTGTTCGAAATTGATTCTTAAATTATCGTTTGTGTCATGTGTGTGACCGTAAATAATTCCATGCATTACTCACAAATTAAATCATGATGAGAATCAATCTCCAATTCTTTATTTCTCACTTAATATCGAAGTGTGTATCATTATGTCTAGCTAATTAAGTAGATTTACCCATCCAAGCATGTTGTTTGAAAATGAGAAATGTTGGAATCAATTTTTAAAAATCAAATCCGTCATTCAAATCAATCAAGGAGTTAGTGAGTTAGAAGTTAAATTAATAGGTCACTGAGACGCTTCTACCATTTACACATGCACTACCACTTGAGTTCAAATCTCTAATGGTGCAAATACCCATTTATTTTTGTTATGGAGTTGAATTTCAACACAAGATGCTTCTACCAAGAGTTGTGGTGCTTGGGCAAAGCAAAGCAAAACATTGAAAAAAAGTCAAAGACAATTTCGAGCAATTACGAAGACTCTTCTACCAAGAGTTGTGGTGTATTAGATAAGGCAAAAAAAAAAACATCAAAAAAAAAAAAAAGTGAAAGTGAAAAGGCACAACTTCACAAGCCAAACTAGGCTTGATCAAATGGTGCAAATACTCGTTTATTTTTGTTATAGAGTTGAATTTCAACACAAGACATTTCTACCAAGAGTTATGGTGCATTAGGCAAAGCATAACAAAACATTGAAAAAAAGTGAAAGTAAAAAAACACAACTACACATAAGTCAAACTAAGCTTGATACTTCTGACAAATACCAAAATGCTTCTACCAATAGTTGTGATGTTTCAAAAAAAAAAAAAAAGTAAAACAAAACATTAAAAAAAAGAGAGAAAGTGAAAAAGTGCAATACAAGCCGAACACTACAAGAAAAATGAAAATTATTGACAGATAATTTTTTACGAATACAAAATTTATCGAAAAATTTATATTTTTGACGAAAAAAATTTCATAGGAAAAGTTATATTATCGACAGATAATTTTTGACAGATACAAATTTGTCAGAAAATTTATATTTTTGACGAATTTTATCAACGGATAATTTTCGACAGATCGATACAAATCTATAAAAAAAAATTTATATTTTCGACGGATTTTACCGACGAAAAAAAAAATCTTATGAAAAGTTATATTATCGACGGATAATTTCTGGCAGATACAAATCTGTCGGAAAATTTATATTTTCGACGTATTTTACCGATGGATAATTTTTTACAGATACAAATTTGTTAGAAAATTTATATTTCTGATGGATTTTACTGATGAAAAAAATTGCAAAAAAGTTATATTACCAACGAAATATTTTTGACGAATTTATATTTGTCAAAAATGTAAGAATTTCTAACCAAAATTTTCGACAAATGCTTAAGCCAAAATTTTCCAACAGAATGTTACTGACAGATAATGATTTGTCAAAAATTTCATGATTTCTGACAAGAGATTTTTTATGGAATATTCGTTGGAAATGATTAATATTTCATCGAAAATTTGATTTGTCAAAAATGTTTAATGTTCTATCAGAATTGTTTAATATTCCATTCAGTAACAATAAAAATGATTAAAATTGACAATCATATATTAAAAAAAATTAATAAAATTTTAAATATTTATCTATATATATATAGAGAGGGAGGGAGGAAAAGTAAAACACATATGATTAGGATGAACAACAGAAGTAAAACACATGATTATCTTGCAAACAACCACTAAAGTTCACGAATCTTTATCTTTGTTGACAAATTTACTAACTTATTCAACATGCAAACATTTTGTTTTAATCCTTTACAATAAAATTAAGAGATGAAAAATAAAAGGTTAAAAAATAGAAGAATAATGGTCACACCTTCTCTATTTTGGTGAAGTGATCTTTCTTTACATCTTTAATTTTTCTTATGTCTATGAGATGACCTTCACAACTAAGCGAATGAGATCCATTAAAAAAAACAAAACCTTTAATGGCTTAGCACAAACAAACAAAGAAGAGAGAGCAAAAGGAGATAAGAATAATATAAAGACAAATCATTAAAAAATTTAGTTTTCTTAGTACTACAGTTGTCATTGAAGATAATTTTGAGCATCTTTCTTGTTATCCATCATAACATCCTACCTTGACATGTTTTGCTCATGACCATTCTGAGGCCCATGTTTCCGACAAACACTAACCATACTACCTTGGGGCTCCTACAAATTGAAGAAAAAGCAAGAACAACAAATAGATTGAGGGAAAGAACAACCCTCTCTAGGGTTTGAAGTGATCTACATGATAAGCTTTTATAAATATGTTATTCATTTATTATAAACCATGTAATAGGTTTGGATACATCGAGTGAAAAAATTCCACAACTGACTTCAATCCAATCTATTTGAACCCAATTTCCTCAACTTGAAAATTCGAAGATGAATTAAAAATCATTCACTTCATGGGCCTCAATTTGACTAGTTTTGGATGGGTTGGAAATTTTTTATTAGCCATAAGCACATTGAAAAAAGAGAAAGTAAAGCAACAGTGAATTTCAAACATTTAATTAGATAAAGAAATTAGCCTAATTCGAGTTAAAATTCACTAGTTCAATGGATCAATAAAAAATCAATTGAGTTGTATCGATTAATACTAAATCGATACCATATTTTATATGATAAATGACTTTAATCAATTTGATCGACTAATTTAAACCAATTTTTAAAATTATGATTGAAATAGGTAATTTTAATTAATAAACTTTTAACTTATGTCATATGGAATTTAATAATTTAATGTTAGATAATTGGTTTATTAAAAACTTGGAATAGTTTTAACATATATTTTTTTTTTATCAATTGAATACAATAATGAAAAAATTATCTTTGATATTCAAAATTTCTATATCTATTTTTTCTTGAATAACCATTAAAAAACAATTTTAAAAATTGTTATGAATATTAAAACAGTAAAATTTGCAATAAAAACAATTTTTTAATGTTTTTCACGAAGGCACCAGAAGTGCTTTTTTTTTCTTTCCAACTAGCCATATTAAAAATAGATTGAATTTATAAAATTTTATATAAATTAAAAATTAATTAATACTTTATTACACCATCTTAGTTTTACGAACAACAAATTATTTAAAATATAAGCAAATGTTTGTTGCTATATAACATATCAATAAAAATTTTAATTGTGTAAATTATATATATATATATATATAATAATAATAATAATAAAGAGAATTGATCTTTTTGGTGTTCATAAAATTTATTCAAATTTATTTTTATGATTATTATTTTATAAATTAATTTTTTTTTATTTTATAAATTTTATTCTATAATCACTTATATTTTTAATTAACCATTTATTAGTATATAATTTATATCATTTTTATTGTTTTTAAAAAAATTCACGAAGATATAAAATATCTTTTATACACTAATAATCATGAAGATAATATCAAATGATTTAACATTTGAATTTATTAATTTTTATTTTGCAAAAATTATTAAGCAGTATAAAATTACAAAAAAACTTACACTTTGTGATAATTGATATCCTATCCCAAATCATTATAGTGAGTTTAAAGGTTGGAGTAGATGAGTGAAAATTTAAGTTTATTAAAGTTGAGAATGCTTGAATAACATTATTCACCTATTGTAATGTTGAATGATTAATTTTTCATTAAATATGTATTGTGCTATTTCTTTTGGCCTGTCCTGGCAATTGGCAAAGCTTGTAAAGATCGCAGAATGGAGACCCACCCTCCAGACAAGGGCACGTAATACGCCGTCGTTCCATGCATCAAAATTCGCAATCCAAAAAGAACCTTCGCCATTTCCCCCTTACCGCTAATCACGCACCAAATCATGTTAAATCTCACCGACAGCACAATCTCACCCTCACCTAAACGATGACGTGGCGGCTCCTCATTGGCCACACATCATAACACGTAACCAAAACCATTGACTTTTCCCTCTACCAACGAACCAACCGCACCGTAAGTCCACGTCACCTTCCCCACCGCGAAAAGCACCCCAGAAGCGCTTTCCGCTGCCGCTTCCCCTTTTCTCTTTTCCGCTCGTAGTGTGGACCCGCCACCGGGACACCATCATCACGCCCCCTTCCTCCTTCCCCCTCGGTATTGCCATAAATCTCACAAATGGGTACCTCAGAAAAGTCAAAGCTCAAACCTTTATGTTGCTTTAGTTCTCGATGCTTCTCTGAAACCCGCGTTTGCTTTTCATTTTGCGCCAATGGCCGAGCCCCCTGCAACGCCGGACACGACGGAAGTGACATCCGGGTTCGGTTTCGGAACCGGTTCGGGTCAGAAACCGGTTCAGGGGATAAGAAGAGTGGGTTTGAGAGCTGAAATAGATACTTCGCCGCCGTTTGGGTCTGTTAAGGAAGCGGTTACCCGTTTTGAAGGAAGCGAACCTTGGATGCCCCTTTGCAAGTTTGGAGAGGCCTATGTAAATTTTCATCTCTCACTGTTTTGTTTCTGTTTTAATTTTTAATAATTTATGAATGTGTTATCTGTTTTTTTTTTTGTTGGTTCAACTTGAGAATGCTGCTGGCTTAAAATTAGGTTTCTATTATTAGTTAAAAATTAATTTTGCCAAAGTTGGCCAAATTACTATGAAGATGGAATTTATTTGCATTAGTGCTTGGGAATTCTTGTGATTTTGGCCTACTCATACACACCATGGATTCTGTTCTAGCATAGTGTATAGTTTTTGATTTATACAATTATGTATGTCCCTGTGGTAATTTACTCTCTGATGTTGAAGATTGTGGTTAACAGAACAGTATTGAAGACTTTGACATAAAGAGGGTGGAGGAGGAAGCCGCGAAGTTGGAAAAGGATTTGATAGTGAAAGAACTCGAAACACTTGATGTGCTTGAAGAACTGGGTGCTACCAAAGCTATTTTGGAGGAATTGAAGCGGCAGCTGCAATCAGAAGCATTGAATTGTTTTGCAGCTCCAGGTTGTGAAGAGGTTGGAGATCCTGTTAAAAATTGTGTGAATGATCTCAACAATCAAGAACAGACATTGCATGATAGTGCTACTTCATCACCTGATCTGTTCTTAATGGAGTTAAAACAAGCTAAAGTGAACCTTGGCAAAACTATAAATGATCTTGGAGTGATACAATCTTCTGTTGAGACTTTGAATAAGAAGATGAAGAAGGAGAGGCTTTTTCTTGGGAGGACGCGTGAGAAGCTAGCATCAAAGTTTGCAGATATCTCTACTCAAGAAGTAGCCACAAAAGAAGTAAGGTTAAATCCACCACCAGCTCCTGAAGGAACAAGTTGCACTTGTTGTCATGATCCCCTAAATGTTGTAAGGAGTTTCAAATTTGATACTGGACAGTGCAATGGAATGAGTGAAACAAGAAGTTCTAAAGCTTCAACGCCCTTGTCTGAGTTTGGAGAGAATGGATTTAGTATTAAAACTGCTGAGATGAGGTGGTTTGCAGCTAAAAAGATGGAAGAAGCTGCAATGGCAGCAGAAGCTGTTGCTCTTGCCGAAATTGAGGCTCTATGTAATTGTAACCCTGAGATATCATCAGAATCTGCTCTTCAAGAACACCACAAAGTGACCTTTGCCAATCCCATAGCTCAAATTCCTCAAGAGTCAACCTTGAAGGAGGTAATAGACTCCAAGTTCGAAATTGAGAAAATAGGTTCTTCTAAACTGAGTGTTTTGAAAAAGTTGGAGGAAGCAACAGAAGAAGTTCTACGCAGCAAACAAGTCTTGACTGAGGCATTAAACAGTGTTGAAAGTGCAAACAGAAAGCAACTTGCTGCCAGGGAGGCTCTTCAAAGATGGATTCCTGAGGATGATCTAAAGGGTGAGCCAGTGTATGACTATGTTAAGCACAACAAGTTCAATCAAGCTGGAAATTATCAGGATTCTCTTCAGTCAGTGAAGAAGGATCCGAAACCGATCTTAAAGTCTTCAATTTCAATGAGAGATGTGCTCAGCAGAAAGCAAGTTCCTGAAGATTACACTACCACAAAGGAGATGGAAGAGCACCCTGAAAGAAGGGTAGCATTTAGTCAAATGCTTCGAGCATTGAGGGAGGATCAAACTCTACCTACAATACCCGAGAAAGATGGGAGCAATCAAAAGCAGTTCATAGCACAAAGGAAAAAGTTTGGATTCATCCAAATATCACTCCCTTTGGGAAAGCGAAGTAAGAAAAAAGCATGAATTTAGTTCTAATGCCTATGCATGGATCAATCTACACGACTCATGCATCTGTCTTACATCTCTAGGCTTCTTGCCATTCTTTTGTTGATTCTTATGTGATGTCTGCTTTTTTGTTTGTCATAGAATTTGTGACTCTGATTTTGTAAAATCCACACCTACACCCAGTGAGATAAGGCCATTATTGGCGTTGTTTGGCTTTGTAACTAGTTTTTTTTTTTTTTTTTTCTTTTCTGTGTGATTGCTTTACTTTATGCAACTAGCTTAGCTTTAGCAGGGCTAGCAGATTTTGCTGTTGTTCATTGTTAGGATTGATCTCCTCTAATCCCCTCCCCAGTGAAGTACTAATGTACTATGAACCTCCTTCTGTAAATGTTAGTTTGGAACGTGGACGATGTACTTGTTTTTCAATGTTCTTTACAATTTCAAATTTTTTATGGATTCTTTGTAATTAAGTTTGCAATGTTATTCTAATCCAGTTTAAAATGTAAAAAAGCTTTTATATTATATGACAATCAGACAAACGGACATATTTCTGTTCTCATTCTTCTCTAAAGTATTTGAGTTGTTGATGATGATAGATGTATTTGCAACAAACAAATGTTTTGTTTTTATTAGATTTTCGATATACGTAAAACATATTCATAATCACGACACAAATAAGATTTGTTGAGTTTAAATTTCTTATAATACCAATTTTGAAGTACTAGGCTATTTGTAATATTTGTAATTATGAAATTAAATAAAGTTGCTCTATTGTGATCAGTACGTGGATATATATTTTTGTAATTTCTTTTGTTCTAGTTAACCTGTCTTTAGATTTGACCAATACACTTATTGCTCCATATCGAAGAATATTATATTCCATTGGATTAATTTATACATGTAATTGTTCACATGAAAATACATGCTCGAGACTGTACTTCACTGTCGACTCAAACTTGGGGGTATGGTTTGTATTTATGCCTTATTAAGGATAAATTACTCTTTTTATTTTATTGGTTTAATTTAATTCCTTAATTATTATAATTTAATTCTTATTTTTTTAAAAAATATTACAATTTATCCTTTATGGACATTACTTTCTTGTATCCGGCTCTACTCTTGGGCTCTGTTTTCATTTGTTAAAAAGAAAAAGGGTTCTCAAAAGAGAAGGATTGGATCATTGGAATTTATCAATTAAATAATTAAAAAATTATATACTAATTGACTTATTTGACTACATTACTTTTTTCTGTCTGATAAAACTGCGATCGTAGAGGACAAGACCCAAAAGCAGCCCAAACAAGAGAAACTAGGCTACAAGATCCAAGGACGAGCACGGGACAGTAACGATAGATACACATGATGTACATCAAGATGTTATAAAAATTTATTTATAAATTTTATTGAAATTAATTAATTTTTTTATAAGTTTAATTCTAAAATATGTTAAAATAATATATATAAAAAAAATCTACAAATCATTTTTGTAAGTTTAAATGAACTCTTTCAAATCATCAAATACTTCTTAATATATTACCTCACTGTATTTCAAAAGAATTTATTAGTCTTTTCTATATTAATTTGATTCTAAATAATTTGAGAATTAAAAACATTTTAACATTGATCAATGGGATAAACTTACAAATATTGTATAAGGAGCTAATTATGTATGTTTTGAGGCACACTAATAAATATTACATCTTTTTATCACTTTTGGGATTTTTTTTTCTTCTTTTAATCTTTATTTTTTAGTATTGCTTGTGAAATTCTAACATGTTTTTAACGATGAATGCATAACTCCAAAAATGCTAAGTAACCTTGAGGAATGAAATAAATTATCAAGTTGCATTAGAGACTCATAAAATTTGTTTTCAAGTGGTAATTGGTTTACTAATTGTCACAATACATTATTTTTCTTCTCAATGAAACTAAGTTGAAGTACATTGGTGTATTTTTTCAACTAGATCTATTAAGCTCTCAATCTTCTTTAATAGATTCTTCAAGTTCTAAACAAGATCAAAAATGGTGGAAAGATAGAAGAAGGTGGCATGCCACTCTTTTGAGGGAGATAAGCAAGAGAGGAGGTTTTTGCCACCAGGAGAATTCCTTAATAAAAGAACTTAAGGAGAAATTTTTCCTTCAAAGAAAACTAAGACGTTTGGTAGAGAGAAAAGTATAAAAATGTTTCTCATAAATCTCAAAAGTGTCAAGTTATACAAGAGAGACATCTATATATAGGAATAATTAGCTTGTGGTGCAAGCTAACCTAACCAAGCTCCAAGTGTCACTTTCTTATATTTAAAATGGTCAATGAGAGCTTGTTATGTGGACAAGTAAGGAAAGTGTGACTCATATCACCATCTTAGATCTAAAAGAATAATAAGAAGCTTGTCAAGTGCAATGTATGTTTGGTGTGACTAGGCAAGACCATGTGTCATATTATCTCGCTTGGATGGACAAAGGGACAAGTAATCCCCACATGTCTTGGATGTCCAAGTCACTCGCACAAGGCAAGTAGACATCCAAGCTCATGATGCAAAAAGGCCAAATTTGACCCATCCAAGCCCAAAATTTAACCAATGGACCTTTTCTAGTTACACTCCTCCTAAACTACCACTACAAGAAAAATAGTAATTTTCGACGGATAATTTCCGACGGATTCAAATCCGTTAGAAAAAAAAATTCGACGGAAATTTTTCGACGGATTTATATCCGTTGGAAATTTTCGACAGAATTTCTGTCGAAAATTTCTGACTGAATACTCCGTCGAAAATTCTGTCGGAAATCATGCCCTATTTATATTAATTAATATTAAACCATATTAATTAATAGTGGATGCTCATGCTGATTAATTAGAACCATTGATAATAGAACATTATTTCCTAACTGCTCATTTGTAGCCCCAAAAGCATGCATGAAATTTAGGGGGCCTCTTGTACCATAACAACTCTTCATACATTATTAATTACAATAATATTAGTTATATAACATCTTTTTAGAAATGTGTTGACAAGATAATCGATAATATATTTATTTTTAGATAAAACTTAAATGTAATATTAAATGTTAGAGGGAACCGGCCGGGCCAAGTTAACTATAGAGTACCATACAAAGAGGGAGAGTGACTCTTAAGTATTGTTAATTAAGATTTATATTAAAGTTTGTATTAATATTTTATTGTTGAATTTATTGTGTTATCCTTTATCAAATTTTTCTCGTATTAAGTGCATTTATTTAGAGTTTTATAAATTTTACAGTCAAAATGTGACGAAGTGTGTTACAAATTTTATATTGAATAATGATATAACTAAAATAAAGTATATGAATAATAAAAATTCGTACATTTCAAATCACTTAGATATATATGATTAAATTAAACTTAGATTCATATAGTTAAGAGAAAACTAATTAAAGATTGTGAAAGCCTTAAAAAAGTTTTTAAAAGGATCGACTAATTTTTTAAAGCTAAAATTAATAACCATTAAGGTTCTCATGCTTTAGGTTCATTTTACTGTAAGTGTATATATATCGTGCAAAATACACAAGCACTTTATGCAAACGTACAATACAATTTCATGTCACATCAATGGATGAGCCTTCTCGAATGTATATACACAACACAAAATATCATAAGAACTTTACGTACATATATACCACACAAACACTACAAGTTAACATGTAGTGACACCAACCAGCTTCTTTATGTATATCATGCTTCTTTCCCACATTTTGTTGCAATGACACTAGAAGATAACAAACATGTGTTGGGCCCGATTGTCCACCTTTTGCACCACCATAGTATGATATTGTCCGCTTTGGGCCCAAGCCCGCACGGTTTTGTTTTTGGGCTCCTTCCCAAAAGGCCTCATACTATGTGGAATGGTGGACACTTATAAACTAGCCAATGTTCCTTCATTTTACCGATGTGGGACTTGGGATGAATCCCAACAAACCTCCCCTCAGACCAAGGACCACATGTCTCGTGATCTCCTCCCCTCAAGCGATAATCCGTCACCATCTTGTACCGCCGTTAACTCTACGGGACACGCCGCCTGAACACCACAATATCAGGAAGACTTTCGACACAAGGCACCAAGTTCGAATCTCCATCGCGAGGCACAACACTGAGGGTCTTCCCGCATCAAACCCAGACGAACCGTTGGCTCTGATACCACTTGTAGGGCCCGATTGTCCACCTTTTGCACCACCATAGTATGATATTGTCCGCTTTGGGCCCAAGCCCGCACGGTTTTGTTTTTGGGCTCCTTCCCAAAAGGCCTCATACTATGTGGAATGGTGGACACTTATAAACTAGCCAATGTTCCTTCATTTTACCGATGTGGGACTTGGGATGAATCCCAACAACATGTTGCAGGACTGTGTATCTGATCAACATATGCTATGAGAACCTTAAAACTGTAGTTTTGTTTTTTCAAAATAAAAAATATATTTTTAAAACACAAAACGTAGAGAAGAGAAGAGAGGCGCGAGTTTAATCCCTAATATACAGAGAAGAGAGGCACGAGGGTTCGTCACAGAGAAGAGAGGCACGACACTTTCAGAAAGCTCAAAATTTGAATTGGAATTTGAGTGAGAAGGTGTTGGTGGAATTGAGAAGTGAGAAGCGAATAGAAATGCGGTGGAGATTGCTCCATGGATGGGAAGCCTAACCCAGATTCCTCCTCCCCGAACTTCCTCCGCCACGTTCAAGCCGCCCTGAAACGACACCGTCCCCTCGGTCCGTAACTCATAACTCCCTTTCACTCCCTCACTCGCAATCCCATCTTCTCATACCTCATTTCTAGGGTTTCTCCTTTTGCAGGTACAATGCACTCCAATTCCATAAGGCCACGTCGCACGCTGCTTCCTCAACGAACCAACTCTCTACAACAACCACCACCACCTTCTTCTCACAACCTAGATCCTCACAAGAAAGTCCACTTTTCAACTCCAACCACCACTGCTTCGCAGGGTAAAATTTTTTCATATTCCGCGTTTCGCCTATTCCCAACACGTCCCCTGAAATTTGAGATGCTATGATATATTGTCTAGCCTTGATTATTGAGGGTCAGTTGATTTCTATATTAGAAAGATCTTTGTCTTCTAAAATTCTTATATTGTGTTTTATGATGTTAGATTCCATGAAGCTGCTAGGAGGTTAAGCGTGGAGCCTTCCAGTTGTCTTGTCATTGAAGACTCTTTGTGAGTTTCTTAATATCTGTTTTTTGCTTCAAGCAAACGTGAAAATTCACGTTAGAGTTAAAAACCAAACATGCACTAAATCTTCTTTGATGATTACAATTTCTGATGGATTACTATTTTCTTTTATCTCCACTAGTATCCATATGAGAAACTTTTTAGAATTATTGGATACCCTATTATTCTATTAATTATATTTGTAAAATATAAAGGTAACCTCTTTTCCTTTCGG